GGTTATCAACACAATCCTCTCAACATAACTTCCAGAGCCAGGAAATCAGCAGACTCATTCCCTCTGGAAGTCACTCTCATACCTGCCCTGCGAGAAAGAGTTCTCACGATTGCAGCAGCCCTTCAGCGACCCTCTGTTGCCCAAGGGAAGTCTATAGCAGAAACCTGGACACTGTGTCTGTTAGGACAGGTGGGACTTGTCCTAGAAATCCTACTTTATCTAAATACAGGTTTAGGTGGAAATAAGAAGAAATAGGAGTGGAGAAAATAACTGAGGGGAAAAAGAAACGCGGAGAAAAGCGTTGAAACGGTTGTCTCCTAGGATCCGAGTGCCTGCTCCGCACTGTATCCAGTTCAACTGAACACGCGACAAACAGCTCAGCCAAGCCAAGAGGGCAGCAAGCGGTCCGCAGTCAGCCTCTTGCAAAGCGGAAGGAATGCGCCCGACCGCAAGCCGAGAGGCTTATTAGCGGTCCCGTACCCCCTCCCGGCACAGCCCTGGTCCCGCCACTTGACTTGTGGCTCACTTCGGGGTGCGAGCCTAGGACCCATTACACGTGTTTCAAGGAGACCTGGAGGAGGGGCGGAAACCCGCGCGATCTCTTCAGGGCTTCAGGTCATAGGCACAAGTGTGGAGCAAGCGTGTGGCATGGGTGTGTGTACCCCTTTCCCAGCACTTCCCAAGGCGCGGACGCGCCTGGCGATCCGGTTAGGACGTCTCACTCCCGCCCCTATGTGCGCCCCAACAACTAGAAAAAGAATTTTCCCCAGGGTCGTTTGGGATGCCGCCCCAGCCGGGTTCAATGTTCGGGTAGACCAGAGACTGGCTTTGGATGGGTAGGTGCAGGGAGAAGTCGGGAGCGCTCCTGGCTGCTGGCACTTGCGCCCAAACGCGCCAGACCTGACCAAGTGGTGACTAGAAAACCTGTTCTGGCCTCCGCCCTGGGAGATGTGGAACAGCTGGGAAAGACGCGGGGAGCATCTGGGGAAGGCTTGGAACAAACAGTTAACCTGGGCGAGTCCTTACTAATTACTTTAAGTCTCTCTCCGCAAAGTCTACCCATGCTACATTCGGAGTCAAACTCTTTCCAAAACGCAGAGGGCAGAGCAGGAGCGCTTGCGTCTCCACTTCTTCGTGTGCGGGACGCGTGTTCTCTTGAGTCATCTCAAAGGGGCAACATCAGACTAGGTCGAGAAGGGCGCCCTAGTGAGAAAGCAGAAACGGGGAGTAAGCGGCTAGAGCCCTTCTCTCCTGACTTCTTTCGCCACTATCTGCAGGGTCCAGAGCGCACCTCTCAGCCAGGGACAAGGGGTGCAGCTCTTCTCAGAGCGCCTCCAGCTAGGGTGGGGCTCTGCTTTCCTATGCAAGGACCGCTCGGTGAGACAGACGCCCTCCGACGGAAGTTGGACTTTTCCTAAGGAAAAGCACAGACGCAGAGGAAAGACGTTGTGGCCCCCGCAGTCGCTTCCAGTTGTGCTCAGGAAACATACTAAGGGAAAATGACTTGAAGTAACAGCCTCGCCATCCTAAAAGGTTATGTTTAATATTTAATTTTGGCGTCTAGTAAAATTTAAAGTAAAAATAAAAAGCGGATTTTCATATGTTCGTTTTATTGTTAAAAACGAATAATTTAAAAAACTGATAAACTACTTAGAATTCATATCTTGCTTTACCAGTAAAGTCAGGCAGTATCGACCGAACCTATTACTGAAAACATGATTGAGATCTACATAGAACCTTTAGCAAAGACTGTTGCAACCAGGTGCGCTTTTTTCGGTTACATCTCAGACCAATGGGGAGGAGGGGGTGATTGGGCGTTGGCCAGAAACCCCAATATCTTGGCAACCCTGTTAGACTACAAAACTGAGTCAAATCCCGGCCCTTGAGGTGCCCCGGGAGTTTGAGTTGTTGAGAAATTCCCGGGAGCGCCAAGAAGCGAGAGTTCATATTCTCAGATAGCGGGACAGGTGCATGTGTATGGGGGGGGGGGGACTCTCTCCTTAAAGCCCTCTTTGAAGAGTACATAGTAGAAACACTCATTCCCAGATCTATATTCAATCGTTAACATAATACAGGGGGGAAAAAGTTTGAAAATCTGCAGGACTAGATACCCTCCTACTCCCGCTTTAAGAGAACCCGTATCCATTTTTTTCCCCTGTAGATTAAGGGATAATGTCCTCCAGACAAGCTCCTCTCCCACCGAGGGAGGCGAGGCCGGGCCGGAGAGACTCTCAGCCCTTACTCTCCGCAGCCACCTCGGCGCTGCCGCGTGGAGGATAAAAGAGGAAGCGGACCGGTGCATGGAGCCAGGCGTGGACCTGGTGGTGCAAAGATGCGCAACACACGCTAAGCTTGGAAGTGCTCTGGGGTTGGTTCCCTGTATAGGGCCTGGTGAGAAGGAAATAATACCCTATACTGGAAAACTATGTGATTAAAATTATGACAAAAAATACAATAAAACTTTTCCCTCGCAGATCTGTTTTATCTTAGAAGTTTTATTTCTTCACTGCTGACGCCTAGATTTAAAATATAATTAGATAGATAATTGGATATTAGCATTGACGCAGTGGCACACTAAAGAGATTTTTAAGGCAAGTGAAATTGAACCTTCAAGTGACATTCTAAAATTGACAAAAATATCTACATCTTTTTTCTTGAGATCCTTACAAACAGAGAACCAGTGGCCCGTAAGACTTGGGGAAAGGGATACCCAAACTGTCTAGGGATGAAATCGAGCAGCAGAAAGAAATATACAACATTAGATCATTGGGTGCTTCTGTCACTGCAGGGTGCTATCAGTTCCCTGGGCGTGCATACCTCTTGCATTAGAATCAAGACTAGAGATTCAAACACACCCATCTCTCTCCTACCCACCACCCTCCAAAAAAAAAAAAAAAAAAAAAAAACCGGAAGTCTGAATGAGGGTCCAAAGAATACCCAGAGTAGCTGGCTGCTACAGTAACCTGAGCGGCAGAAAAGAAAAACATCAGGCGATAGAGCTGCTCACCTGTACTTTGAACTAAAGGTATCTCTCCATAAAGTCAGGGTGTTCTAGGCAATCACTTAAAGTGACTAGACACGAGAATTTAAGATTACACCTTCTCTCAGAGCTGAGAATATATGTCAATGATTCTCTAACAATGGTCATATATCTTCCATTGCTGAACTATACACAATAATTGAAACTCTTAAGAATATGGGGGAGAGGATATGAATTCACCACACTAAAGTTTTAATCTCTTTCTAAAGAATTCTCATGGTACTTCAGACTTTGCCAATGTAGCGTTGCCTGTGGCTTTTCCTGGGCTTCATTCCTAAAAAAAGAAGAAGGGAAAAAAAAATAGGACCCCAAAAGTCCTTGGCTGAGCAAACCTCTGAAGACACAAGAGAGATGCAAGTGAGGATCTTTAGGTGACTTTGAAATACAAAAGGCACTAGACACTTTGCAACTTAGGATTCATAACTGAATGTACACTGAGCAGGTGCAGTTTGCACGCCGGCATGGAAGCGCTTCCTCCCTCCCTCCTTTCACCCCAATTCTCAAGAGGCTAACTGCGCCTGGAGTGATGTACACCCATTGGCCTGGGGTGATGTACCGAGGCTTCCTTAGGAGAGAACAATCCACAGAGTTGTTTCTGGGTTCAACTTTCAGGGATTCTGTGAAGGAATGTAATTGTCTGGAGGCTGCAGACACCTGGGTTATGAGTGCTGATTGTTCTGCAGACTCCTAGCGATTTCTGCAGAGCTTTTGCTATCTTCTTATTAGTTTGTGGCTTGGTTGGGAATAAGATGAGAAAACAAAATGAAATAGCTATCTTCATCTTTTCAAGAAAGCCAGAACATTGGACATTCGTTATTATGTGACCTCTTATGTGGGCACCCTCTTTTTCCCCTCAGTTACCTGGAGAGAAATGTGCAGTTGTATAAAATAACCTTAAATTACCACTGGCACCTGCCTTCTTTTTGCCCACCCATAAAACAATTCTTTTCAAAAGAAAAGGAGGGGGAGGCAAAGGAAAAATAACAACCTAAGAACTCTTGTGGCAATTTACTGTTCTAGCCCTGCATTTTAAAAACAGTAACGCTCTTTGCAAATTTCAGTGACCCGGAGGCCATCTGTAATTCACCAGGGTCAGTGAAATAGATGGTTCCATCTTGCTCTTTCTATGAATTCGTAGCTGGCCTAGAGCGAAACTCAGACGGGAGCACCCAAGGATAAGGTTGCTGTGGGGAAGTTCAGCGGCTAAGCAGCGTCAACAACATCCTTTATTTGCTGAAAGTTGGTGCTGGGTAAAATCCTAGAGGCCCTGTTACAATTTGCTTATACAAGACCCAGGACCTGACAAACAGATGATTTATTATTTATCTAAGAAACTTGTAAGATTGAATTATTTATTCTAAAACTGCAAAATGCACCTCATCACTATTCACTGAAGAAGGAAAAAAGTTGTAAGAAATGTCACTACTGAGTTTCACTCTGTGCAACAAAGTGAAAACTGACCCTAGGCCCAAAGAGCCTGAAATGTTCAGCTCTTCTTCCAGGATCCATACCAAAAATGAGCAGTATGTAGATGAACTGGAAATCCAGAGATAATCTACAGGACTTTTAAAATCTGTATTCTTCCACCACTGCCCAAGCCAAGAACTCAACAAAAATTCCAAACTTACAAAAGTTCAAAAGCTTTTTGGTCTCCTGAACTTCTCTTCTGAAAGCTGCATTTATTCATAAGATTAGCAGAATAGTTAGACATTCTAAATAGATTCTAATAAATGTAGGTCATCAGACTGGAAAATTCTGGTTAAAGAAAAACATTGTACTGAATTCTCTAGATAATTAGTACGACTACCAAGTTCTTTTTGCCAGAATAGAGCTAGGTTGTCAGTTTGAAATTCAGATGTCAAATAACTAACATATCCCAAGTTAATCTCCAACTCTGCCTGTTGTATCATGTTGTTTAGTCATCATTTTCTTCCTGACCCAAAAAGAAGACAAGGCTGTGTTCATTTACATGGTTTATTGTTGTAAACATTAAAATTGTCTTTCTCAAAGAAAGAATTTATCAGAAAAAAAATCAGTCTCTAACTGTCATACACCATAGAAAAAAAGGCAGTGACTCATTTCATGTGCCATACTAGAAATATACAAAGAAAAATACTACAGAATATGGCAATATTAAAATTCTTACTCAAACATAAAATAATATATTAACTGACAATTTTAGACATTTTAAAAAAACAAAAAAAAATTCAAAGTGCTCAGTAATTTCCAGGGAGTTATGTATATTATAAGCACTCTGGAAACAGTCAAAAGCTGCTGCATGCAAGATTTGTTTAGCTTTAGACAACAAAATAATCAAGATATAAACTTTCTTTTATCAACATCAACAGTACATACAACACTTACAAACAAGGAATGTTGGACGGTGTTACAAACACTATGTGTCCCTTTTGCCAGGATTTTCCGATGTGTTAATACTTGTGCCCACCTATTTTACAATTGAGAAAATGTTTAAGCTCAGATAACTACCAATCTTTATAAAATCTAACAGACTACATAGTGTCTGAAATACTATTTATATAATATAGACATTACTGAAGTAGCAAGTGCCTATAACATTTCAACCTAGAATCAACATGCTTGTCCCTTTTTATGTAATTATTTATTTTCTTTTTTGCAAACACACTTATTTTTTAGAATTTGTAATATTTATTCATAAATAGGCACAAAATAATTTAAAAAGCCAAACTGCATTGGGTAAATTTACAAGCCTTTGCCTTCTTCAACTCATGCCACCCACGCAACATTTAGTTTTACTATATATTACAGCTTTCTTTACAGCAGAAAACTTTGAAGTCTTGTTAAAGGGCAATACTTGTGGGTCCCCATACGATAGGTGTGTGTGTGTGTGTGTGTGTGTGTGTGTGTGTGTGTATTACATCTGTCTTAACTGCAACAACCAACCATGGCCAAACATCTCCCATCATACATGAGCAATCTTTCTTCTGAACATTAAATTGATCTTTAACTGATAATAAAAAGTTTATACCACTTTATTGTGTGTAGTCCGTGTTCTAAATCCAGGATGCCCCGGAGCCAAAATGCCCTTTCAGGTTCTGCCTGCAGGTTAGGAAATAGCAACAGTTTTTGTTTGTTTGTTTTCTTTAGGAATGGAGGGGCTGGGGGTTTTACAGAAGAGGGAACAGCTTGAGCTGAGACAGCTCAGAGGGCTATCTCTGCCCATGTGACTAGCCCCCTCTGGACAGTTTCAGTTTTCTTTCCAGTTCCTTATAAGTGCATGGGAGAAGATCTTAGAAAGGTAAAGTGTCCAGGAAAAGTTTGTCAATTATTGCTGGTGGTGGTACCAAGTCTTCCAATTTCAGGTAGAAAATGCGTTGTAGACCCTGTGTACAAAGGGTACGGAGTTCTGGGAGCTTCCCCAACAGTTTGGACAGATAGTTGGGGCGGTTCAACCCCCCATTATTGAAAGTCACGTGGTCTTTGAGACAATTTACAATTTTGTTTTGCAGTTCTTCCACTCTCTTGGGTTCTTTGAGCCCATGTCTCTCTAGAAAACACAATCAGAAACAAACAAAAGAAAAAAAAAGGCACAAAATAGTTAGTTAGCTGGCAAGACCAGAAACAATGTGCGACAAGCGAAAGTGAATCCTGTTGGGCAGTTCTGGAGGGAAAGTACCCTGCACCTGCAGTACTGACCTGTAACCATAGCCAGGGCAGCAATGCAGGAGAAGGCAGAAATGTCGATGTTCATATTCTGCAAGTTGGAGGAGAATTCAACAATGGAATCAATCCATTCCCCAAAGCCACGCACGCATTGCAACCTGTGCAAGACCACCCCATTGCAAAAGATGAGTTTACCCTCCACTGGGTTGGACCTGCAATTAATACCAAAGAGAGAGGGGAGAAAAAGAGAGAGAGAAAAGCTAAACAACTAATTACTTGAAGAGCAATAAATGAGGGATTTAAGAGGCACCTAATTACTGAAGAGTTAATAAAATGTAGACCAGTGGACCTTGAAAGGGTTTAATTTCATAACAATCAAGAACGCCCCCTATCCCACCTCCATTCCATTCCATTCATTCAAGGTTTCTGGGCTTTTGTTCCTTCCCTTCTCCATTTGTTTTCTATCTTTTCTTTTCTTTTCCCTCTTTCATTTCCTCTTCTGTCTTTTTCCCTTCTTCCTCTTTCCTATTCCCTTTCCTCCTTTTTTTTTTTACTTTCTTGATTCTTCTCCCAGCCTCCCTGGATCACCTCTTCCATTATTACCTGTATGCTAATCGAAGGACAAACAGTTCTAAGAAAGCTGATTCAAAAAGCAGGTCCTGGTCAGCTTTGGGCAGGTCAGCAAAGCCAGGGATCTTCTCCGCCCAGCCCCTGATGATCTCCATGGAGCCAGTCAGGAGATCATAGAACTGCTGTATATGCTGGGTGTCATCTCCACTCATCTGATAGTCAGGGTTCGCCTGGAACTGGAATTTCATTTTAAAAAGCACTTAATGAGGTTCTCTAAAATATATAACCCGTGAAATTGCTAACCCCGTTTCTAGTAGGGGAGCCAGGTTTTTATAACAATTAAACCTCTCTCTGACCAGTAAGGAAATTAGATGTTCCGGGGCAATTAATTCAATTAGGGACGGTGCTATGAGGTCGCTGCTTTAAATATGTAAATTACCATTTCCATACAGACTAAATACAGTGCCAGCCAGCCCTGGGAAACGCTCACTCTTATCTCCACAAAACAATTGACACGTTAGTATTCATGCTAGTCCCAGAGTGGGTCTCGAGCTGAGACGCCCTTTGCAAATCTTAATAATATTGCAGTCGCTTCTAGGTTTGCCCAACATACTTCCTCCAATTAAAGCTCTCACATATTTCACAGCTGGAGTAAAAGAGGAATTTGACCACTTGATCCCTGACCCTGGTGCCATTCCTTACACCCCTCTCTTTTCATTCCCTAGCCCCAAGGCAGGTTCCACATCCTTCACCCAGGCAGTGGCAGGAAGGATGAGAATTATAACATCTGTATGCAGGATTGAGAATAAAGTAGACATGGGGAGATTTTGTGCAGCCTCAGGTTTTGCCTTAGAGACACTGGTGTATACGATGGTCAAGGAGTACTAGGGGAGTGGGGGTTCACAGAGATTCCACCACTCTATCATGTCCTCTCCTCTTTGCTCTGTTGGATCCTCTGGTCTACACTTCTCAGTTACCGGACTGTCTCCTGTGGCCCCGCCCAGAGTTGTGAGGCATATCGCCTTGTTTGCCTCCTTTACCCCTTGGGTCTGAGGGTTAGTGCTGGGTGTGGGAAGGGGGTCCTGCCCATCTGTTGGTTTGTCCACATGATAGCCCCCCTCCAACTTCTTACCCTGGAATAGTCCAGGCTGGTCATAGCCGGGTTGGAGTCGACATGGGCCCTGACGAGGGCACTGATCAGACTCACCGGGGGCGAGGGGGGAGAGGGCTCCTGTGGGCTCTTCGGTTTCGAGGGTAAACGACCTCTCCGGCCTTTTAAACTGTCCGTGCGAACCACTGCAAAAGAATAGCCCTGTTAGCGCCACTCCCCCGAGCCCAGGCCCAGATGCCGCCTGGGCTCCTCCCTCTGGAAGGCCGCAGTCATGGGGCGCCAGGCCCGGGCGGCTCAGGGTCCCCTCTGCTTGTAAAGCCTTTACTGACGAGAAGCATAAACAATGTGGGGTTATTTTATGTCTTCCTCCAACTGGGTCGTATAGTTAAAGGCGAGAAGGACCTGGCAGCTTTCTCTAGAGGAGGCTGAGCAAGCAGGCAGCTGCAGGATCTTGGAGGCCAGACTGAAGCAGGGCGGTGAAGCAGGGCGGTGAAGCAGGGCGGGGGGGAGGGGTACCCGAGACCCTTCCATCTAGGAAGTAGAAAGTAGGACTAGGGTACCGGTAGCCGGTTTTCAAGGGCGCACATTGAAGAATGGGCAGTTTGCGGTGACCTACCTTCTTTGACCATCCCAACAGCCAGGCACTTTTGAAATCGGCAATATTGACAACGATTCCGGCGCCGCTTGTCCACTGGGCAGTTTTTATTTGCTAAACACACATATTTCGCGTTTTTTTGCACTGTGCGCTGCAAAAGGAAACAATGTAGGCCGAAAATTACTTTTTTTTTACCTTGAAAATTCAGCAACCCGGAGACAATTACTGAATGGCTGGGGTCCACACTCCCTCCCCACAAACAAGCACAAACACACAATTCCTTTTTATTTTTTTTTCCTTTTTCTTTTCTATTTCTTTTCTTTTTCCTCCCCCAGGGTATTTAACAGAAGAAAATTGATAGCGTTAACATTTGAGCTAACCTTGCCGCTCCTTGCTGTGTTTTATATGCCAAGAGAAGGAGAAGGAGACGCTCAGTAAATACAAATCCGTGGGCATTCATATTATTTACATTCCTTGGAGACCTTCTCTATTTAAAATGATAAGATTATTCAATCAGGATGGCGAAATAAAGAGATCACTTAATTTGACCATAGGGAATTCTGTTCCACTTGGTTAGCTCAGACACGGTTCTCTGTCCTAACCAATTTCAATCTGAACAGGGAAGACAGCTCCTAGCACATGCAAATGACCCTCTTCCAACTCCAGCTCCAGCAACTTCGGGCGGGGGCCCGCCGGGTCGGCTGGTTGCGGGGGATGTGGCCCAGGGTCTACAAGTCTTTCTGCGTCCCTTGCTCAGATAACCCGGAGCAACTCCCTCCACCACCGCAAGCCTTGGGCAGCTGCAGGGCCGCTTAGGCTGGCCAGAGAGACTCGGGCGGTCCGGGGCGAGCTAGGGCCGGGTTGCCCGAACCAATGCGAAGGGCACAGTTCAGGGTCCTGGGCACTATGGAGAACCACCCTGCCTCCTCTGCCCCTCCTTTGCTCACCTTAAAGAAGCCTTTGCAGCCCTCACAAGTGCGCACGCCGTAGTGCTGGCAAGCCGCATTGTCGCCACACACCGCACACAGCCCCTCGTTGGAGGGGGAGCCCCGCGACGGTGGCGAGGGCACCTGTGTGTCAAGCAGCTGAGACGCGTGGCCGATCTGCAGGCCGGGGAAGCCCATAGACGCAGGCTTGCGAATGGGGTTGGGCACAGCGAAGGTCTGCCCGTCCACCACGTGGTGGCTGCCCGCGGGCTCCGGGTTCATGGGGACGTGCAGGGGCCCGTCGAAGCGCATCTGGCAGCTAGACACCGGAGTGCCTGGGGGCGACTGCTTAAAGGAGAAGAGCGAGAGGCGGGAGACAGGCGTTTTCCTCTGCTCAATCATGTGTGTAGTGGCTACGTAGTTCTGGTGGAAGTTGTGGAGAGACCCCGGGTCGTCCCACATGGGGCTGTGTTGCACCTGGAAGCCCGGGGTGGTGGGTGTCGGAGGCGAGGAGGGCTTGTAGTAAACCGACCCGGAGTGCGGCATCATCTCCTCAGACTGGGGGGGCAGGTGGCTGTGTTGCTGGTAGTTGTGCATCTGAATGTCTTCTACCTTAATGGAGGACTGCTGTCCGGACAGGGGCATTTGGTACAAGCAAGGTGGCTTGACGTCGTAGCCTGTGCTGTAGTTGTCCATAAAGGTACTGAAGCTGGGGAGAGAAGTGGTGGCAGTGATTTCAGTGTTGGTGAGGTCCATGCTAAACTTGACAAACTCTGGAGTTAAGAAATCGGAGCTGTATTCTCCCGAAGAGTGGTAACTGTAGCTCTGAGAAGCAGGGCTGGCTCCTTGAGGCGAGGACCCATACTGCGCCTGAACACAAGGCATGGCTGGAAATGAAACAGGGTGATATACACTCAGCCTGGTCAACTGAACACTTTCTCCCGGGTTCGGGTACACCTGGAGCTACACCGGCAGCCCACGGCGGTCAGAGAGCCGGTAGGTGCGCAAGAGGAGGAAGGGCGAGAGAGGTCGAATGCTGCAGAGCAACAGTGTAAAGTGTAAAAAGACTGTACAAAGACCCAGAGCTAGAAAGCTATTGAGGGTCCACCCTCTCAGATATTTCCAAATGCCTACTCCCCTCCCCCCTCCACCTCCACCCCAACCAATCCCGCTCTGAAGAAACTCTTCTCTGAAGCTCTGGTTCGGCGAGCTTTCTAGAAATGACCATCTAGAAATAAAGTTGAATTGCACAATGGAAAGTTCTCTGTAACCTTAAGTTACAGGGTTTGCCTGAGAAAATCGTGTCGTGCTGTTTGTTGATGGCTAGGGAACTCAGGAAAGGTGATGAAAGAAATAAAGTTCACTAACCTTCAGCCGAGTTACTGGTGTTTTCGAGGAAATTAAAGGTGGACAGTGTCGTAATTCAATGAAGGACAGTTTCCAAGGTATTTAGAAAAGCAATGGGGAGTCCAGTCTGTCGGATCTCCTTCCTAAAATACAGACACAGGAAGTTTCAGGGTGTCTTCCCAACTGAGATTTGGCTGGGCTTATGCAGACTCACCAGACAGGCCCTTTTATGTCTCATTGGAAATTAGGGTGTAGCCTTTACCAAACAGCAGTTAAAATGGATGTGAAAAGACGTGACTGGAAACAAGAGATAATGCCACCCATTGCACTGTGTAAATCCTTGCAAAGAAAGGATCCTGAAGGAGGAAAGGTATTCCATGAACTTATTTAACACTTATGATGTAATGAATTGGCCCCTTTGCTAGAGTGTGGGTGGAGGGGTCATTTCCCTTTTTGCTTATTTCAGACCTGAATAAGAAGACTAGAATTGAAGAGAAAGTACACAGTTAGAATCTACTTTTTTCTTTTCCTGGTGAAATAGGCTTTTATGGAGGGGGGGGGTAATTAGAAGTTAAGAATATAAAATGAGAAAACAATTCCCTCTTCTTACAAAATCTTAGCAAGGCCTAGACATACAAGAAGACAATTAGAGTGGAAGCATCTGTGTTTCCTAAGTGTTTTTACCAGAGCACTGAGAAACAAACAAGTGAATCGGTGTTCATGTCTCCAGAAAACTTGGTTTTCTACATCTTTAATGGCCAAGGGGTGGAATGAGGGGACTATGTTTTCATGAGCATCTTGGGTCAACTGCAGAGGAAGAGAATACTGCATATAGGGTATTGCACCAGTGTAAAAGCACTTTGCAGCCTATCAAGCTGAACACCTTCTCCACAATGCTTTCCACAATCTGCCTACTTGCTGGAACAAGGCATCCTTGTGTCCTAGTAATTTTCGGATGTTTTCACTTGGAAGGCATCCTAGAGCACAGACGATCTTATAATGAACAAGAAAGCCAAACATCATCGACTCTTGCTCTCTCCCTTCCCTCATAATCTTGATGGTGGGGGGGGGTGGCAGGAAGAAAAAGCTAACCAGAAAAAAAAAAATAAGAGACTTTTGACCCTCTCAACCCTTGGAGATAAGTCTATGCTAGATATTAACCCCCTAATGACTTCACAATTTCATAACTATACTCCACATCACCCCCCCACACACACCTCCTCTCTCTCTCTCTCTCTCTCTCTCTCTCTCTCTCTCTCATACAAGGACCCAAGGACGTCACATGTCAAAACCAGAAATTTCAGGCAACTTAGTAACAGGACACTATGAACACCACCCTTATTCAACAATACCCGGGAAACATCCGCACACTGGCCAGGCGGTGACACAGTTCCCAAGCAACGCATAAACTGAAGAACTTTCTCTCCCTGTCAGTTTGCAGACAGCTTCCCTCATATACACAGGACTTGGAGTCTCCGTGTCGGAAGGCCACAATCAATTCTTCCCTAAGAACAAACTTAGCGCATGTTTCCGCAGGCAAATCCACAGCTTCCCAAAGTGTGGAGGCTCCTTTCTACGTCCACCAATGAGGAGTCTAGAAATCTCTATTGGAAGCCAACTCCCCCCTAATGTCAAAGCCGGAGTTCAAAATAAAGCCCTTCACAGCTGCGCGCACCCACTCCCCATTCTCCCGCCCCACTCATGCTTCAACTCTCGGGCTCCCACTTTCAGAGAACCTGTTCCACCTACGTGGAAAGAGAAGACGTACAAAAGAAAGATAAAAGAACTCGAGCTGCACCGGCTGCACCTACTCACTTAGGAGTTCTCCACGTCTCTCTTCATTCATTCAACTCCGCCGAAGTGCAGTTCCCTCTGGGAGCCCGGGTGCCCGGGTCGGGGGGTGGTGGGCGAGCAGGGCGAAGGGAGCCGAGACACCGCAGTCCGGGAGGCAGCAGAGGTAGGCGGCCGGCTGGGCAGACTAACAGGACCGCGGAGCCTTGCGCGAGCCGCCGGGCGGACTGGCCCTGGCCGCCAATGTGCCTTTGTTTATGTGGCTCGCGCTGCCGCTGCCAACATGCACCTAAAGTCTCCGCGCGTCAGCGCGCGTCAGCGGCCCGCTACCCAATCGCGGAGCCGCCGCACTCCCCGGACTCCTGGCCCGCGCTGGCTTTGGTATATTTCCGACCTGACGTCACGAGCAGGGTTGATTTTAAGGTGGGAACCGTTCTGCGTTCACCTTGGTAGCCGGCTTGGGTGGGATTTTTTTTTTTTTTCCGAAAGAGGTGTGACCTCTTCACCCAGCTCTGTGAAGCCCGCAGCGCTGCTACACTTCACCTTCCCCCAAGCCTCCGAAACCCCGTGGCTTCTTGGCCACTCACACTTGGGGAGGGTATAACAAAAGCACGGGCGGAAGGGAACGCTGGCGTGGGGCAGGTAGCCTGCACCTTAAACAGCACGGGATGGGGTGTGCCTTGCAGGGTCCTAACCTCACTCACCCACCATCGTCACACAGACCCCATAGCGGAAGTGCATACAGATCTGTCCCATGACACACAAGACACTCAGGGCTCAGGCAGGGTGGGATTTCCCTAGCCCAGTGCATTCCCCTTTTCTCCCTTCTTCTATTCTTGTCCTCCTTTGGCACATTTCCTTCTCAGATTCATCTCTCTCTCTCTCTCTCTCTCTCTCTCTCTCTCTCTCTCTCTCTCACACACACACACACACACACACACACACACGAGAAAAGGGAGTAAGGATAGGGCCTATTTTTCTTTCTTTCTTTCTTTTTCCTTTGCGGTGCCTATGTCGGAGGGAGAACGTGGCTCCTGAAGGAGTGAGGAAAGGGTAGATGGTGACCTAGCCCTTCAGGGACTCCAAAAGTCAGAGTGAAGTGTTTTTCTTTTGCAGACAATGCAGCCAAACAGTAAGCAACAGGTGCGTCTTGTGCAGAAAGGGTACCACCTTCTGCCAAACTACAATACTTTCGACACTCCCCAGTGCCCACCAACTCGTATTCCATCCACGAGTTTTAGAGAAACAAATCGACCTTCTTTTGAAACACAAGGGCTATCACAGCCGTGATCTGAGTAAAGAGGAAAAGGCTAGACAAGGGAAGCAGAGAGGTTGGGGCGGGGGGGGTGGGGGGATCAGTGAGTACGCAAAACGTAAGGTGTATGCCTACAACCCTCCTCTGAGAGGAGAGCTGGTGGAATGTGGAAGCTCGACCTGAGCCCCGAGGTATCTCCGTCACCCTCGACCCTGCTTTGTAAAATAATTCGCCCTCCACGCCGCCAAAGGCGCAAGGAGCTTTTTAGCAAAAGAATCGCCGCTTCTTCAGGGGGCGATAGTCGTCCGGCTGAAACTGGGCGGGCCTCCTTGGGATACTCTGGTGGGTTGGAAGAGGCTGGGACCAAGGGAGAGTTCGGAGGTGCTCCCTTTCTGTGCCTCAGACCAAGTACCAGCCGCCTCTTCACTTTTGGCGTGGCTCGCTTCCAGACTACAGGGTTCCTTTGCAACTCGTCCCCCGCCTCCCCACCCCACCTCCCGTAGCCCCCAAATAGGTGAGCTCAACATGAGCCGAAAGAATCGTGGAACTATCCGAGTTCCGGGGTTGCTCATCCCTAATCTGCACCTCCACCATTGCCGGCTCCTCGCCGACCCCTTCTACCCTGTGAATGGAGAGGCGCTGCCATCAAGTGCTCTGTGGCTACCCAGGAAAGCTGAGGGCTCTTCTGCATTGCAGCTCAGGGAAACCTACGTGACCACCTTAAGTTTCCCCCAGATGTTGCGGCTGCTGCTACGGCTGTCTCGGCCGCAGAAGCTCAGCGGTGCCCTAGTGGGCGCGAACAACAACAAAAAAGCCAGGAAGTGTGTGTGTGTGTGTGTGTGTGTGTGTGTTGTGTGTGTACGCGCACGGGCGCGCGAGCGCGCGTGTGTGTAGTGGGGGGGGGTGTTGTGGTGGTGGGCAAGGGTGTGTGAGAAGAGGGACGAGAGGGGGAAGGGTGAAGAAAAGCTTATTAGTATGAGCTCGGTAGCGTCAGCGCCCCGTGGGCAGAAGCTATTCCACGCGAACGAAAGGGAAAAAGTGAGAGTTTGGAGAGCAGGGGAGAAGGAAGGGGGTGGGGTGGCGGTGACGCAGGGGCGCAGGCATTGACGCACCCGCCAGGCTCTGCCCAAAATAGCAACAACTCCAGCTCAGAGGCGCCCTCCCGGGTTCCCTTCCCTTCCCTTCCGCGAGGGAGCAGGGCGCGGCCAGGGGGAGCTTTCCTTGATCCCTGCGGTAGGCCAGGATCCCAGCAGCTATTTTCAGGCAGTCGGAAACTCAAGCGCAGCCATGCTGGGGTGGCAGTTATTATTTTTTAATATAGTCTTCAGGAAAGCGGGGGACAGGAGAACTTTAAGGTTGTAATCACAACCCTCCATACACAAATATTCACGTCTAGGTAGATTCGTTCCCTCCGCAGGATCCTCCCTCCTCGTGGCCATTAAAAACGTACAACTTAGGCTGGGTGAGCCTCGGGACAATTTGAAAATTTCCCTCCCAGAGAGCAGAAAAGTGTACTGGAGTTATTTAAAGTGAGATCAACTGAAGCCAAGCATGGCAGTAAGATAAACTATATAAGAGCAACCTGTCGAGTATGGTTTCTTTATAATACAGCCTCTGCTCAAGTCTTAATGCAACCAAGATACAAAGGCAGTCCTCACAGTAGCTTATTTCAATAAGTGTTAGTGGAGAATGGAGTAAATATTAGTTAAGTGTAATAAAGTGAGAGAAAGGGGAAACCTTTCCGCTCCGCATGTTTAAGAGTTTTCTCTCTCCTCTTCAAATTCTTATTCAAGTTCTTGGGAAGTGTTACTATTTCTTAGGAAAACACACCGGATGTGAAAATAATAAACTTGCTTTAACTAATTCTTGGATGAGTTATTTCTTGAGTTGGGGTTTTGGACTGGGCTTGGATATGCTTGGGGTGGAAAGGATCCAAGTCACACAAAAGAAAGTTTATAGAAGGGCGCTGCTCAAAACCCCAGACTATTTTCCCCAGGAGATTCTGATGGGACCAAGTCTCAGGAGCACCACCAATGTGTGTAATTGACTGATTCTGTCAGTAGGGGGCCTGACTCCACAATGTTCTAGAGAATGTCT